TCCACGTAGTACATACATGTAAAGAAACCTAGGCAAACACGTACGAGCACGAGCAAAATGGATCCAAATTTTATAAGTAAAAACACAGACTTGTGAGGTGGAAAGCATTCGCCCGATTTTAACACACCTTCGAAAACTTGTCAGTTTCTGTGATGCCTGCTAGAACTCCCTCCGCATTGAACCACCAGTAAAATAAAAATGGAGACAAATCAGATCGAAAGCACTAAACTGGGGGTTTATTTAAGCCACCAGTTCAATTCTGAGAGCAATTTACAATTAACAATAAACTTCCTCTTGCGCTAACTGCGTCCATTGCAATTGTACTGCAAAATGTACCTTCCATCTTGGTGACCTACTCGGCAACAAACACGTTCTCTTTGTATCGGCATGGTTGCACATCTCTCACAAGTACACCACAGAGCATTTTCCAACCGATCGTTCCATTCACCTTGATAATTATCTCCCGCGGAATCACTAGCACGTTCTGGCTTCAAGAGCAGCCATACTAAAACCCAAAAGAACAAACACATTCTCGGACGGAATGACGTGACGGATATGCGGCCTGGCCAGCAAGATCCTTTCAAAATGGCGGCTCCCGGTGTCGAACTTTTCACTTCTTTTTCATTTTGATCGCATCCATTTCAGAAGCTAAAACAACGGTGAGTAACTGAACTCAATGTGAACTTTTTATTGGTGATGGAAAATAATACACGGTTTTTGGAGTGACCTTCTCCTTTAAACTAAACGTGAGTACAAAACATGATACAAATTGAGACTATCACGCGTCTAATTAAGATAATTTCAATGTAGCTGTCATGTTGATATGTTATATCGTGTGTGCACATTCAGGTCAAGGTGCACCGTTACTGGCCCGCAAAACAACCCGCCAGCATTGGAACTTTGGTGGTGGAAATGACCAACGAAATGGTTTATGACGACTATACTATGAGGGAAATAAAACTCACCAATACCAAGGTATCGTTATGGCTACCACCATGTGTTTATTTTTTTTATGTCTGTTCTGTTTAATCCGTTTTCTTTCAGAACGTTTTAAAGCAGAAAATCATAGCCTGATGCAAACGCGAGAGTTGGACGAATTCGAGAATTATACAAAATCAGCAAGTACAGAAAATTAAAACTGACATTATAGAAAAAAGAAATAGTTCGAAAACATAAGACTCATAAATATTAGACCTCGTCGATCTCAGATGAAAACTTCTTATTTTTTATCCATAGTTGGTTTAGTATATGGCGTCTCGCACTAAATACCTCTTACTAACCAAGTTCGAGGTCCTTGTTGTAAGTTACGGGGAAAACGAGGATCCGTAACTTACAGTACGGACCGAGAAGAAGAGGTTAGTAAGATATTTATTATATCTCTACTGTGTGCCTGACCGATTCGGGAACAGTTTCTAATTACAAGAAGCGGCCTCAAATTTCTGACGGACGTCGAAAGCAAATTAACGTGTCAAACTGAAATCGTTGTTAAGTCGTTAACACGTTTTAATGCACAATTTAAAGTAGAAGAAAGTTTTAAACTTTTACTTGCTATATACAAGTTAAGTACACTTGGCGAAACATTTTGGCAACAAAAACAGCTTTAAATTTTGACCAATCACAGCGCGCGTGGTAACTGAGAGATATAATAAAATACAAGTATTAGACATGAATTAAAATGGACGTCGTGCCTCTTAAAAATATTTCACAGGGCAACATAACGTTGTTGGATAATGATATAATTATGCAGTGTGCTGTATAAACGGTGTTGTTAACATATTAGGAGAGTGCATCTCGAGTGGTTCGTCAGTACCAATACACTGGATGGCCTGATGTTGGCTCTCCAGACTCGGGTACAGGATTGATCGATATTATTGGCCAAGTACAACGGTGGCAGCAGCAGTCAGGCAATACTACGATCACTGTACACTGCAGGTGAGTACCATACGCTGTTAATTCACAACAGTTGGCACCATAATTTATGTCTGATTAAGATAATCATTAGGACATCTCCCAGTTGCCTTTTGCCTTTGTACCAAAACGAATCTTCTTGCAACATGTGTTTTAACTCTAAGTTCATTTACATGTAAATCAATCTCATTTTTAGTTGAATGACTTCGCTCGAAGACTTTGTTTGAAACTAAGGCAAAAATCAACTCGGAAATGGTCAATTTGAGCACTTGTTCATTCAGTTATTCATCCATGAGCTGGTTGTTCAGTTGTCGACCATTCCTTGACTAGGCCGTCACCTTGGAATGGCTCCAAATCGAGCCCGAACATTCTGCAGCAAAGAATAAGCGTTAGTTAGTCACTGTATCAACGCTTTTCTCTCTATTTCTAATACTGCCATTAGTCTTTGCCAACACTGAGTTGCTCCAACGTTTGGGCGTCGGTCAGATGTGTGCAACTGAGAGTAAAGAGTAATTTAGGGAAAACACAGGATTTTGGAACATGAATGAACCTTGACTATGGAGTCAGGGTGTGGTGTACATTTTGAATTACGCTAGTGCTGCAGGCTAAAAATTGAAGAAAGTCTATTTAATCCCTTAATATTCGTGGTGATTTGACCTTTTCAAAAACTTTTTTTTTTGAGGAAATGTCTCCAAGTGAATGCGTAAAATAGCATTTCAGAGCCTCTCAATTTCAAACATTTTGGGGGGGGTAGCATACCCCAGACCTCCCTAGAGGCTTGTGCCTTCGGCATTCGAATTGGTGCCAGCCGTCTTCCTTATGAAACTAGCCCTCTACTCCCTTAAATTAATAAGAACCTGCCTTACTGGCTGTAATCGACAATGAACATGTGAAGCAGTTACAGCTAGAATGCCCTATCGTTTGACTTAAGGTGGCTCCAATGTTGTTTCTTCTTCTTTTCCTTGACCAGTGCTGGGGTCGGTCGAACAGGAGTATTCTGTGCCCTCAGTATTTTGATAGAGCGATTGAAGAGTGAGGGTGTGGTGGATGTCTTCCAGACTGTCAAGCAGCTGAGAGCTCAGAGACCCGCCATGGTGCAGACCAAGGTATGTCCTCCTTTTGTAAATAACGTAACCTGCGATTTGGCATCTTTTTGTTCTCGTGGTAGTTGGGAGAGGAAAAAATGAACGCCTGATCGCATGTTAGAAATAACAAGTTATTCCTAACGTTCCTAGGCTGTTGGTATGTACTGATAAAAATGGTAAGATTTACGGGTTTATAAACTCACTAGAGGCTAGCTTTTCACTCTCATTTTCGCCAGTGGGTTGTGTCTGTCTCCTGGTCACGTCACGGTTATGGCCTGAACCACAGTTTGTAAGGAGACCATTGCGATGAACAATATAAAACTAAACCTGCAGTGTGAGTGATAACAATGAGGCAGTAGAGAAGAAGTGTCTATTGTCCTTAATTTGTCTTGACCTTTATCATTCTTTGATGACTGGATTTTGACTTGATTTGTTTCTATTCTAGGAGCAGTACGAGTTTGTATACTCTGCCCTCAGTGAGTATCTGGACTCTTTTGATGCATACAGTAATTTCGAATAACTGCACTGAATTAAGAGGTGGATCAGTTTGTTACTCCTTTGAAGAACGTCAGTTTTTTTCCTCTCCAATAATTCAATTAACTAAAAACATCACTTCGAGCAAGTGACAGTTTTGGAAACGTAATGCTTTGCACATATCACAGTAAAAAAAAAGGTAGTACAATGAATTTTCAATCATTATGTTATCAAATATATCCGCTACCGATTTTAAAATTCTTAAATGCGATAGGAATCGGACGTTGTCGCCTCCTACATGCGATGAAGATTTGACTGTTTTCACTTCATAAATCTACTTCATAATTATCAGTTATGTAGAAAGTAATCGTCATAGCAGTTACGCGTTGTATTGTAAAAAAATAAGTAGATACTTTTTTAATATCAAAATAATCCAGCAACTTTTGCAAATTTTCGCATATTAGTGATAATTGTGCAATTTCAAAGAAGTATTTAATAGGATGAATACACAACGGCTTTTTTCAGAGGAACGGAATTGATTATCACTGCATTCTGATACACCACATATTTGTCCAACAATAATATTTCAAGCGTAAACGCTTTGCGTGTAGATAGCGTTGTTGATATAATCAATTTGTGGACTTAATTCAGAATTTTGATATTTTTGTCTTCTCATTTAAACTAGAAAGGAAGACACTTTTCCATGGAATTGTAGTTTTTGTATAGATCACTTTCCACCTCAAACTCGAGAGCGGAAATATAATAAGTTAATGAGTTGTTTTTGTTAATCAATATAAACACGTGATCTCTGAAGTTCAAAACCTAAACCCTTGGCTGCCGTCAATCTTAATTACAGTTTCGACCCTAAAGCCCACGCATTTTCGGTTAGTAGCTACCAATCGCTCGAGCTTTGGACAAGATTTAAACGAGAACCAGAAAATCCTGGTTTCGGTTTAATTGTGCTCATAATTTGAGTTCAATTGTGGTTTCTAAATATTCGTAGAGGTAGTAACCGCTGTGACTATTTCGCCCAGAGGTCTCGATTCTAACCAAAAAGATCGCGGTCTCTGAGAACGCAATTGTTGCAATCAAGACGACAACAGACTAAAAACAGAAACAAACAAAATGGATCGAAATCTAACCACAGACGTGACTTTTTGGACCCGTTGAAGTAAACCTCTGTTTCCTGAGAGGTCTGCTAAGGTGATTAAAGGCAGCGAAGCACGAAGCCGTTGATTAAGCAGAGTTCGCGTGTCATTGAAAGGCACAGTAATGTGCTCTATACTATTGATAATACCGTAGCTATTTTTTACCCCTAGGCGAAATATTTTATATTTTTGTAATCGGCATAAGCAAGTATAAATAAAATAGTAAAGCAATTCGGCAATGTCGTTTTGTACCATGCTATGTTAAAAAGGTAAGCGAAAAATATTATAGTGAGGTAGAACCGGCAGGGCCGTGATTTTTCAGTCTGCCCAATTATAAATGTTATCAATTGAATAAGAGTTATCTTTCTTTGTAAAATTTTTATTGTATTATTACTGATAAAATAAAATAAAAAAGTGGTGAAGGCTTTGTAAAATGATGTTTTTCTTTAATGTCATAAGAACCATTTTTTGAGCCAGCGGGGTACACACTATCTTCGTACAAAAACTGTGTTGCGCAAATCCGTTATAAAACTCTCGGTAGCGTTTTGAAGAGTATTTTGTCTTTAAGGGGCTTTGGGAGAGGTAAATGTTGGACCTTAGTTGTTAGGTCATTTCTTAGTCCCTGTCGCACAGCTAGAAGACACAGATGTTCAAGCCTTGGTGGCATCCTTTCGAGCTGTCTGAGAAAGTTTTTTACTTCTGCAAATCGTGCAACGTGAACAGCGGTTACATTGCCATGGTTGCGGTATCTGATGCTCGCTCCAGCTGCACACAGCAAGGCCGCACACTCTTTCCTCTCGCAATGCATGGCGACGTAATGAAGAGGTGATATACCTTCACTGTCCCTTACGTTAGCACTTGAGCCAAACTTAAGTAAGAGCGCTAACGTGGTGTAGTGTACCTAAAAGAAAGAAAAAAGAAGTCTTTGGAATACTGCTGAAGGAATCGCTAAAGGCTGCGAAATACGATACAAATAACTTCAACTTGTCGCACAACATTGTTTCGTTGCAAGTTTTGGGTCGATTTTTCGCGTTTTTCACCTTGCGTGATCAACTTGTCGCGCACCAAAAACATTTGTTTCGGGTTGAAGAAAGTTGTTGCGAAAAGTAGAGCGCGGATCTGCTTTGAGCAACAAAGTTTGGCTTTGTTGCTCGTTTTTCATCAAACTTACAAATTGTCACGCAACAAATGTGCTCATGTTGCGCGACAAGTTGAGGGTTTTTGTATCTCGTATTTCGCCGCCTTGAGATCGGAGTTTATAATACAGTAACGTGTTTAATAACGAAATTAAACTGTTCGTAGTAGACACTTGTCGTGTCCCATTGCAAAGCTACGAATGTGCAAGGTTCTTCCGGGTAATTATGTTATGCACATTTGAACTTTTTATGGAATTTGCGCAATATAAATGATATTCAGTATTATCGTTTTCTCTCTTTTATGGAGATTTACAAGGCCTGATTCATAACGATATTTGCAAGTGTCTTGGAAACGGGATTATGGGGCCTTATAGAGCGAGGGAGCAAAATACTTAACCCCTCAAACAGGCCGCCAGGGAGTTTCCTTGCCTCGTTTTATCTCCATTAGTCTCACCTTCAGTTTTTCCCGAATTCGAATGCCAGATCGCGTTGCCATTTGTAATGGTGTTTCTTGATACGAACTCCGAGCATGGACGTTAGCGCCGTGTTCACATAGAAGAACCACCAGCTCAGGATAACCATATAAAGCAGCCAGATGAAGGGGGGTGCACTTGGAATGTTGGGTAGGATTTACGTCACATCCAGAATCAAGAAGCAGCTTGGCGCAGTATGTGTTAGCTCCTTGGACCGCGTAATGGAGGGCGGTATAGCCAAAGCTATCTGATCGATCTAATGTCTCTTTATCTTTACAACAATGCTTGCACAGTAGTTTGAGACTGCTATACTCATCATGAGAAGCTGCTATGTGTAGGGCTGTCCTCCCATAAATATCAACACTGGAAATAATTATTGAATCGTCCGATAACAACTTGTGAAGTAAATCTGTTTTTCCAGTAAGTGCTGCGTAGTGAAACTTAGGTAAACCTTGCATGTGTTTTGCCAAATCCTCAAACGGACGTTCATTTGCACGGTTCATGATCGCCTTGCCTCGAGTTTAAAATACTTGATCAGATTTAAATCGAGGTAGGTTCGTAAAAGATCAAGGAGAAAGCTGCTACAGCATTGGCATTTATAAACCAACCACTTCAATGAACTGACCACGCGATCTATAGAAACAGTTAGATTTTAAATACTTCGAAGGTGCTTACGCGCGCAGCGGATCGGAGCGGGGATGCGCGCGCCACAAAGAAATTTCTTTGCTCCGTGTAGTCAGTCTGTCAGTTTTCTTCCTCACACGCTAACCGCACAGAAATCTCTTAAGGTCATTCCCCAGTATTGTACTGCGCATTCCTACTGCGCGTAATTTCCCGCGTGATTAGCGCGCGCGCATCAAAAAGTGGCAGCTGCTTCTTCACAGCTGGACCTCGGTCTAGAGGTAAATCGTCATTTTTTCGAAAACGGGTATGGTGACCTATCATTTTTTCTGTTCTTCTGAATCGAATCATAAATTTCTCCATGTAAAATAAATGTGGACCAATTCTCAGTGTAGAACAAGAAACAACCGCCGGAAACGTGAATTTACAACTGAATTTAGCAAGCAATCGTCTCTATAATCATGGTGCTATTATAAGGATTTATTGGGTATTAACAAGATGCTGTTGCTCCTAAACGAACACGGGGACACCTCATTTTTATTTCAAAATTGAAGTTCCTATAATATAAACAATCAATAGACAAAGTTTCCCGGCAAAATTCTCAGTGTAGGTTCTATTTCAGTGGAATGACCTTAATGAAATATAAAAGAATGCTTAGAGTGAACCAAACGTTTCGTGCTTAGCAACGTCTTTCCAGTGGTAGATGATGTTACCAAGAAAAAATGAAGAACGCCTCTGAACACGGTGCAAATCTCGAAGTCGGAAATGGCATGTTGTTCATAGTGCCCATCTTCTCCTGATTAAAATATTCCGGCATGGAGATGACAAGCCACCACTTCTTTCTCTGCCCATCTTGTTAGTTGTTTCCTGAAGCGTTTTCCGAGGGTCAAGGGCACGTCTTTTCTCACCAACATGTATAAAGTGCATAGAAGCGACAGCAAGAAAACAGTAGTTGATGAAGTCATAATGAAGTAACTCAGAAAAATATTCTTGGTGAGTTCGTTGTAAGGGTGGTTAAAATAAGTACTGATGGTATTCTCTTATGGCGGGCTGTCGTCCTCTCCTACAATCTTAACAGTCCCAGCGATAACGGCGAAGGGGTAGAAGGGGTATCGAATGGCGGCAGGGTTCTTTCACAGGTCACAGATCACAGGTCACAGGTCACCAAAAAATATGTCAAAACGTCATAAACCAGATGTATACAAGTGCGTCCCAAGTGTAACTATAACAGCTCTTTTCTGAAAAAAAAAATCAGCTGTAGCACTGAAATGATAAAAGAAATTGATACAAAGAAAGCCAAGAGTTATTTCTGTTGCAAACATAAATTGTTTGTAGCCTTTCAATATAATATGAAAACGAAAGAGGCTCACACTGATGTTGACAGTGAACCATGGGGGCCTAGAATCTAGTCTGTCATGATGTGTCACACACGGCATTTTGATGCATCAAAATGGAGGCTTCTGTATGTTTTGCGAAAGGTGGATAGAATTTGTATTTTTGTGACACATGATTTAGCCTTTGCATCTTCACGTGAAAAGTGATTGTTCCTTTTTTCTGTGAACGTGAAGCTGTTTTCGAATTTTTTGTGATGCGTGAAAAGGCCAATTACTTAATTGCGTGAAATTGTTTTCAGAAGAGGTATAGGGGACCCTCTTGTTTCTGTTTAGTACATACTCGTTGCAAAGATTTCAAAAAAAGATAGAAATAAAACAGTTCAATTTGCTATCATAATGAATTATCTTATTACGATAAAATATATGTAACAATACATGTCTGAAAGCTACATTTCAACCCATTTCGTATATATACCACCCCTAGAAATTTTTTCATTTAAATTATACAGTAAAACATTTTTAGTTAGGGTTTGTTGCGTGGAAAAATCGATAAACCTCTTGGGAATCTCGGAAAATTGTTACATCGCGAGTTTTACTGAGTGCTTTTTGATTGTGACCTGTGACCTGTGACCTGTGACCTGTGAAAGAAACCTGCCGATCGAACGGCCCCATTCAATTTAAAAGTGTTCGCAAAATTTGGCCTTTGCTCAAATTGCCGCAAAAATTAGATAAGTGCTAGCTTGCTCGTACTCGCAACATTTTTGCAAATGCTCGCATGCTCGGATTCTCGTTAATGCCAAAACTGGGAAACATTGGGGAAACATGCACGCACTACAAACGTTTCTGGAAACAACAATTCTTCGCGAGAGGTCAAGGAACCCGCAAAGGTAGAAAGTAATCTAGAGACATAAAGACAAGAGGAGTATTACAATTACTATTCGACCTTCAGAGCTTGTCAGATCTGGCTGCAATCCTAGAAGCCTCCAAAAGAAGCTTCATTGAGTTGGATCTTTTTCATTCAATCACGACAGCGGGAAATCGGTTCGCAAATCATCGAAACCGAAACTGGAAATGCTTGTTAGACTAAATGCCATGTTGTTTACATTTCCTAAGAATTATATAACCAAAAACCTTTTATGCCACAACACTTCAAAGTCTGGTAGCTTTTAGCTTCTTCTCGTAGTGTTTTCACAACGTTGGGTCAGAAAGCTTTAGATCTCCTTGAGCGTCCACCCACTAAAGGACCTTTCGCTCACTGACTCACTTGAAGCTACGTGACGTAACTTGGCATCAAACAAGGCACAACTGGCTGCAAACTGCTGTGATTGGTTCAACTATTATTGCGATTTGAATTAAAATGTCAATCAAGTAAATTTGATCTCGCCATTCAACGTGATTGACACTAATGGTTATCAAACATTTTGGTGTTTTCAAGGGCGTACGCGATTACCAAATAAAATATTTAGTGGAGACAAAATTTGTTGACATTTTTGGCAGAGCCAAACAAATCTTGTCAACCTAGTGCGTACAGTACCTTACTAAACGACAAACAACTGACACTAAAACAGTCCATTTCATAACAATCCCAGTTTAATATTCAAGAAGATTTACAGCGATTCACAATACTGAGAATTTGAGATAAATGGACCTTTCGCAGAATACCCGTGAGTAGAAAATCCGCTGTGGAAAAAACTGTCTACCTATCCCTAGCCTGCGAACGCAAGACGTGTTTCCGGCTGTCGCTTGTCTCCGCCGAAAATAACGTCTGCGAACCCGAGCCAGGAAACGATTTCTAGGATGTAATAACTTTTGTTTCTCTTTGGCCAATCAGATTCCATGATAGAATGAAGCTCGAGTGCTCCTCGCAGCGAATATCTCGCGCAGTAGTTCTGGGGCCACTTGAGCTTACTGTGATTGGCTTAAAATTCCTACGTCACAGAAATCGTTTCCTGGCTTGGGTTCGCAGACGTTATTTTCGGCGGAGACAAGCGACAGCCGGAAATACGTCTGTGTTCGCAGGCTAACCCATCCCATAAGTGGAGATATTTTAGGATATTTGCCAAGTCTATATGCACACGCACCAAGGCATTGTTTGACTTGTAATGATTGCAAATATCACTAGCCACCAAAAACAAAACTAGTTTTTACCTTCTCTTAAAAGTTTTGAATGATGAAGAAAAATAATAGTTAATGCAACTAAAGTTTATAAATATTTGCGTTTAAGCAAAAGTTGGGGTCTTTCCGAAAGGTGTATGGTAACGGTTTCCATCTCTTTTCAAAATTTGGTGGATCAATACAATCTCGTTATACCACCGAGGCTACAACTGTCTATAACTGAACATTTTCTGAAATTCAACGTGGCTTTGAAACCGTTCCCTAGAATTTTCAGACTTAAGAAAAAGTTTTGTCGTTAACATGTTCATCATGATTCAATAACAAAATGGGCGTCATCGAGGTCGTTTCTTCAGTTACAGCCCCTATAAGTGGTGATGCATTACTATGGTAACCTGTTGTGACAAGATAGTGACCTTAACCTGTTCACCACTGACTGGGTTTTGGTTTGGTTCCATTATTGTAACATTACCTCGTAAACAGAGGTAGCATTGATCCATCAAATCATAATGTCTGGAAACTAGCCACCTTAATTGAACTATACAATTTCAAATCATGAATAAATAAAATGGTCCAATACTTTACACAAATAAAAATAATTTGTTACCTCTAAGAGATAAAAAAGAAAAATAACCGTGTGCCATGTTCTTTAACCTGTTAAACCCACATTAATTAGGCTTCGAACTGAAATGTAATGAATGGTTTAACTCTAACATTGCCCTTTGACAGACAAAATGGAAAAGGTGGAAACACTCATAGTTTTACAATTGAGAGAATAAATGAACATGGCCATACTGACAAATCTTTGTTAAGACTCATTGCAAAGTTTCCAATTTTTATGATCTAATCAAACAATAGACCCTTTTCATAAATGCCGCCTGAATTTGAATAACAATACTTTGTTCATCCTTAGCCTTGTACATGTACTTATGTTTCAAGACAAAGGATTTTTCACATGAATGTGAGGCTTAGGATGTATAAGTATTGTTGTTCAAATTTAGGCACGACTTATGCATAGGGTCTATTAGGCAAGAATTCAAAAGTATTCTAAAAGTTGTGATACCATCACAGCATGATCACTAGGAAAACTGGTCTCATCATGAACCTTGTAGTCATCCCAGTATTGTTTTTTAATTAATTGGTGTCTCACTTGAAGGCCTTTAAATGAAATTGAAAAAAACTGCCTTTATTACCAACTTTCTGCTCAATAATAATACACTGAAGTGCATTTTACTGCTGTACAATTCAAGTTAATTGTCACGTGCATTTTAATAAACTCACACTAAAGGCTTGCCATGATGGAAACTGCACTGAAATGTCTAATAAGATTTAATATATAACTTAACTGTTTGTGTCAAAGAAATAAACACAATTCTTCATCTTAGAAAAGATGTCTTGGAAATAAAACTAATACCATAGTAATAATAATAAACTTAATATGTACAACTCTCTGTTGTGTCCCTCAAGGACAAGAAGAGAGACTTATATGGAAGCGACAGGATTAGTATATCTTTAAGTCTTAGAAACTGTGATCCTCAACTGAGTGAGCACAGTATTAGTGTCACACATCTGATCACATTGTTGGTACAGACAATTTAAGGTGATTCCTTAGTATTGCATTGCGCATCTCTACTGCGCACGGTTTTCGCGTCATTAGCGTGCACACATGAGCGTGTGCCGTACAAAACGTAAGAGATTTCCCTCAAACTAAGCTCGATGGCGAAATAAATGCTCCTTTTCTTTTAAACGAGCACGGTGACCCCCACTTTTTATTTCATAATTTCAATGAGAACAATATCCTCAATAACTGAGAAAAAAATTAGCAGAAATCTATGGCTACTTTCCCTACAAATGAAATAAATGCTACAGAGAGGAGACAAAAAGGGCCCAACAGCGCATGTCCAAATTATGTTTCCTTTAAAGGATAAAAAAATACAGGGCATTTGAAGACATTTTTTCTGTGTAGATGAATAAACAATCAAAGAAAGTCAAACTCTGTGTGATATAACACGCTGCATTGAAAAATAATTGAGCTTATTTGGTGCATACAGAGATTACCAAACGTCACATGAATAACCGTATTTGTCAGCATTGTGGCGTGAAAACAAGCACAGTGACCCTCTCTTTTTACTACGTTTTTAATATCTCCTTGTCCTGTAACAACAGCATACCAAGTTTCATCGGAAATCTATGGTGGGTTCTTGTACTAAGGAATCACCTTAAGCTAATACTGATATCAAATGAAAAAAATTTTGATTAAGAAACTGCTGCATGTATGCCTGTCAATTTCACACAAGTCCCTTTCCCACCCCTCCCCCTAGAAGTACAAGACTTCCTCAATAGTATTTAATTTAACAATTCTGTTCACACCAGACATTACTGATCCAAGCAGTACAGGCTAGGTTTCCCCTTCAACCAATTGGGTCTCAGAAGTTGCTTCATAACTTGGCTTGCTAGGGAGCATGGGATACTCAACATGAGAGGCCGTCAACATGTTGTTGGGCTGAACTGCAATCAGTTTTGAGGATGACAGCGACAGGAATCCTAACAGAGGGAAAGGACAATTAAACATTTCCTGGTACATAGAATTTTCCAAGACCCTAAGACAACCACTCTGGTACAAAACATACTGTTGTTATGCATAGCCTGAATCTCTCAACAACACATTATTTTAACTTAGAACACAAACTTTGGAGCAAATCAGGTGTACAAACTGAAGAAAGATTTTCAGCTATTTTCATCTCTATATCAGGCCTTATACACATGTTGCCGAGACACCAAATTATTGATTCCCTATGAGATGTATGCTTCTTTTTCACATAGTTATTAGTATGATGTATCCAATCTCTGTTCTCATCACTTCATTTTAATCAGAACTTTTCTACTTCATCTTAAGCAACAACCACAGAAAGATTTTGAACCCAAGAGTTGAGCTGTGTGTATATTTGTTATTTTTATGATTGTTAATATTAATTTTTAACAACATTTATTACAAGGGCCCCTCTGGGAGGCACGGTAGCCTCATGGTCAGTGCGCTCTACTCCGGATCAAGCGGTTCGGGTTCCAGCCCTAGCCAGGGACATTGTGTTGTGTTCTTGTGCACCTCTTGTTCACAGTGCCTCTCTCCACCCAGGTGTATAAATGGGTACCGGCGAATTTAATGTTGGGGGTAACCCTGGGATGGAATAGCATCCCATCCAGGGGGGAGTAGAAATACTCTTAGTTGCTTCATGCTACTGAAACTGGGATAAGCTTAGGCAATCGCAGAAGGATGAAAGGCAAGCAGGGCAAGCAAACTACACCACCCCTTAGCTCAAGGTCTGGATCTGCCATTGCTTACTAACTAAGCTTTCAATTCCACATTTTTATCAAAATATACTGCTCTCACTATTTACAGTTTCCTAACAGGAGAAGAAAATATTGTGAACTGAAATTAACTTGTGTAAAGTTGTCAGAAATTACTTCAAAGTAGCCAGTTTAAACAACTTATGATGCCTGCTATGAACACTATACCCAGAACCTAAAGATACTTGCACTTCCTACACCCACCCACCCCACCCATATCACAAATCAACATACCAGGGAACAAGTCTGCATTTGTGAGCAACAACTGCTCATCAGATTCTTCTTGTTTTCTGTCTGATGTAATGTAATACACACCAATAAATGACAACACACACCTGCAAAAAAATGAAATATATTCCACTATTCCATATCTGCATTGTTATCAAGAAACTAAGGACACAGCTCATCACATGATTTCTCTTTGAACCAGTCAACACATACCAGTAAAGCCTGTTATCATTGAAAATTTACATGTAGTAAAGTACGTTATTTTTGACTATTTCTGACAAAACACGTTAAGACAGTTTGTAGCAAAATATAATGACATTTTGTGGTCCTTTTCCTGCCCTATTACTAGTCCAAAGACTTCCAGAGATGATTCCCTGATTCCCTCTCCTCCCTTCGTCTTCTTCTCAATGTTGCACAGCTGCAAAGCTCTGTGCTGTAAGAAACTCAATATTGGTTTGGTGAAGAGAGAAGGCAGGGGCACAAGATAAAAGGCAGACGCTTCATAACTGAGGTTACAATGCACTAGTTACTCTACAAGATGTGTATTTTCATTAAATATCATTTATTTATTTATTCAGCATCACCCTTAAAAATAAGTGTTTTCTAGTTAACTATTTTGTTGATGATGGTATCTAAGAAACTATACGATAACAATACAACAACTAAGTAAGTTTACACGAATAAGAAGATGCTCACCCAAAGAGAAACATAAATATTTCCAGGAAGGTAAGTCCATAGAATTCTTTATATAAAACAATACCTGAAAGTGAAAGGGAAATCTTAGTTGGCTGTAAAATTATGTTTTTTGTTCAAACAAAACAGTCCATAATACAAGTGACAAGATTTTGTCTTATTTTATATTTTGCATTTTGGTTTTTCTCCTGTGAAAGCAACCCCACTGCCTGTAACTTCAACCTGCAACATCAAACAATGTTTGCAGTTATGTTGCTTCAAGGAAATAAAAAATGTTTCATTCTCCACATTCCCTTATTCTTCTTTAAAGCCCTACATGTATCTATTTTGCAAAAAGACAATTCTCTTTGATTTGAAAACTAAAGAATAGTGGCTACATCTTTGTATTGTACTCACCACTTATAATGGCACTAATTGTGAACAAGACAAAATTGGTGGGGACCACAACAGTGGCATCAAATGATTGCATAGCTCTGTTCAGGAATCTAAAGGCAAACAAAACTGTTTCAGAATTTCACTATTTTTAAAGTAAAACATCAGATGAAATCAGTTATCTACAAGTAAAGGACAACGTAGACATTACAATCAAGATTTGAGGAATGCCTTGCATTGCATGACCAGCAGCTCTGCTCATTAAACAGGTCTATGTAAATTCTATATATTTTTTTCAGTCTGTCACTGGTCAGAATGATTTATTAAAAAAACACTTCTTTTATGCCCCAGTGTCAAAATACAATTTTTTATCACATTGGGTGGAGAATTGACTACCATGCACATTGCTAACCCAAGTAAAGAGCTGTTGTTGTGCACAACTGTCCAGAGACAAGAGAGCCAAAATAATAATGTTTGTTTCAATCCAGCTACTTGAAATAAATTCAGCCCTATCAAAATCAAGATGACTTTCATTCAATATGTGACAAGATGAATTTTCTGTATTCTTATGACCAGAAGACTTACTTTTGCAGGGATATTATGAACAGAACCTCAACGTTGGTCATTAGAAAAGTAAAAGATATTAACTTACTTGACTTGGGCAATTGCTGTGGTGATCATTACAATCAACATGACATAAAACAGTGGGTGCCCCAACTGACTGTTTCCACCCAGTGTGATGTTTATCATTGACGACACAGCTTTGGCTGATATCACAGTCAAGGAACCTGAAAAACAATAATTATAACAATAATAAATGTCTAGCAACTTTTGATGCTCAGAACATTTTTTGGTGAAGAAATATCAACTTACACTTAGCACTAAAATAATTGTCAATTAATAATAATTATTTATGCATACACCTGTAATTATTACAGGTGTATGCATTCTTTGACTAGTTATTTTTAAGAGACAGGAAGGGGCCAGTTAAAATTGCTTTCTCCCTCAACTGTAAACTTCAGTGTAAACACTTTTTTTTGTAACCCATGTTTGGTTTGTTTAAAGTAATTCAGAGACTCAAATACAGTACATGTACATGTACAAGGTTGCTTTTGCCTTAATATGTATTTATTGATTCATTGACTCTTTTATTTAGGCTAACTGACTGCAAATTACTGATAAATGACTAAAGACT